AATAATTTTAAAAAACTATAAATTTTTTCCAAAATATAAAACCGGAAAAACAAACACTACATCATTCCACTACACTTAATAAAATCCTTATTTGTCTGTGCAGTGGCTAGAAACAAAGCAAAAACAAGAGAAAAGGGGGAGACAATTAAAAAGGGAGGAGAAAAATAAAAAATAAAATAACCATCGTGTTTCCCCACTCATCCAGCACACACCCTCTCGTTTTCGATTTCATAAAAGAATAGCAAAAGCTCTCATTCATATATTCTCTCTCCCAAAAGCGGCAAAAAACGTGATCCTCCCCCTCACTTTCCAGCATCCACTCGTGCCCCTTCAAAACACAAACAAAAAGAAAAGATAAACCCTAACTTTCCTTTTTATTATTCATTATCTTCCTCTTAAAATATCAGAACACTAACTTCTTTGCCACTCGCTCGCAAAGAGAATTCTGAAATGGGCCCTTCAAAATCTATAATCTTGCTTTCCTCAGCTTGTGATGGGGGTGCCATGGCCCACCCTACAAGTGATAACCTTGCCAGAAGATGGAAGTGAGCAGTGCTGGGTGCTGATTCTAATGGAGCATGTTTGGTGAAAAAGGGGGTGGTGATTTTGGAGCAGCTTTAATCTCCTCCTGTAAAAGCATATATCCACTACATAGAGCTAGGAGTTAAACCCAACGTATGGATTGTCTCGTCCACCTAAATTTGTCACCTTCCGTGGCTTTCCATGCACAGTGATTATTAATTCTGTAGTATTATGAACATGGGGCATTGGGAAAAATTTACATCAACAGTGATAATGACGGAAAAAAAGCAAGACAGTACAAAAGTCTCCCTACAAAAGAATATAACACCAGAAATGAGTTTCAAGCTGGCCACTTTCCTCCCACAAGGCCCCCCGTTTAACATTTCCTTGTTCCAATGCGTGGACGTAGATATGTTATTTTTTTTATTAGAATTTCTTTGATTGTTGGAGTTAAAACCTTTCAAATCATGTTGATGATGATGTTTGCCAATGGTAATTAGAAAAGTCGAGTCCACGCTGATCACACACAAGGGTTTCTTTCTTCTTTTCTTTTTTTCATAATTAAGCACACAAATTGTAGGAAAAAGAAAAAGAAAAAACAGTTCATATTTTCTATTCTCTAACACTGAATCTGACCATGACTTTTTCATTTTGATTCCTACCTTTATCTCAATGATTGAATTCCTATTTTAAAAAAACAACAGTGAAGGCACAGATTTCATGATATTTTCCAGGTACATTGAAAAGAATTTAATAAATCCTCTTAAATATTGTTTTTAATATATATTTAAGTTTTAAAAATATTTGTTTTAATCACAAGATTGCCGATCCTTAAAGTTTTTATTTAAACACAAAGAGCAGGAAAATAAAATAAGTCATCAAGCTCTTGTTAGAATTGAATTTTATCAATTATCTGGAAAAGGTAACCTTGCTGGGCATTAAAATTATTGGTAATACCTTTTCCATTATCTATAGGATTGGGGGTGGGTTTGGAGAGGTGGAAAAATTAAAAATAAAAATTAAGGGCATGGCTTCAATTAGTCCACATGGAAAAAGTCTTCTTTTTTTGAAGTATATTTTGAATCAAATAAAATAATTCCTTTTATCTTATCTAATTTGTTGCGACAATAAATTAATGTCTCATGACTCCAGCCAAGACAAACACGAAAATAGGAAAAAAAATAAATGAAATAAAAAATATATAATTTTAATATTATCTATGTATTGATTCTCAATAGGATCTCTAGATGAATTTTTTTTTACTAAATCTCTTGTTTATTAGAATCCTTCGAGGAACCACTTATCTAAAATAGCATTATTGATTTGATTTTAATACTAAATATCAAGATATATTGAGAATAATTTCATTTTAGTGCATGAAATACACACTTAATATCACACATGCATGCACACGCACAATAATGAGAAATTCTAACAGATAGAGGGATTCAATTGGAGAAAAGTTTTGTTGAGTGGCCCAAATGAGAAGAAATGACTAGATTCATTGGATATTCTCCTAGAATAAAACTAATAGCCTTAGTTGAAAGATGGACGGTAAATTGAAAAAAAAACAAAATTGTGAGAGAGACTAAACTTGGTAGCATATGCCCATTTGCAACTCGTCAAGAATCACATGCCTATGTGAAACAAACTGTGAAACAAGCCGAAGCTTTTTGTGTAACTTAGCCCAGTGTCATCACATGCGCGCGCCTTCACAATGATAGCTAAAATCATTGCTGGTTCTTCGTTTTCACCTGCATACGGTCCAAAACGTTGTTTGTTGCGAAGGATTTGGAAAGGAGAAGCCTATATTGTAGTCTCGAAAAAGGAATGAATAAAATAATGATGATGAGAGAGATGCAATGATGATAAATGAGGTGACAGTTTTGGCTTCTTCAGAGAACGATGAAGTACTGTGATCACTCTGATCCCCTATAACTCAGGTGCACCTGAAAAAATTAAGTGATCGAGAGATGAGCCACCTAGATGGCATTTCTTGTGGTGGGACTCTAACCAAAAAGGCTGATGTCTTCAGTCTTGAGGTAGTGGTGTCATTGTTCATCTCTCGTACTTCATTTCACCATGGGTGATTCTGCTCATACTGCCTTGTAAAGCTCAATGATATCTAGCTAGTCTTTCTTTAACACATACCAAATCTAACTAGCTAGTTCAGAAATATCCACCTTTTTTCCCCGAAAGAAAGATACTGAAATCGGATTAGACACAAATTAAGTATTCATGTAAACGTCATGATCATTGGATTGACTTGTTAATATTTTTTTTCCTGACAAAGTAGAATAAACCTTATATATGGTATACAATGTGGACATCCATGGTCTCCCAATCTCTCAATCTCTTGGGTTTTGAATGCAGTTTCTCTGGATAAAAGATACAGAAAGAATTAAGATAGAAGAAATATTTCTCGTGTTTTTTAATTTTAAATATTCACTCTAAAATTATTATAAAAACACGTTTAATTTTTGTTTTTGTCTTTACCCCTCTAATCGAATGCGTTTAATTTTTTCTATTATGTATATTTTCTTTTTGTACTGAGATTCTGGCCAGATACAACCTTGAAAGATGCAAGCTAAAATTTAAACATTGGAGGGATCGATCAGTCCATGTTCCATGTGATGTGTATCTTGAGTGTGTGACAGATGATGCATTATTGCAAGCTGCAACCCTAAAGTAACTTAAAAACCGAAGTATAATGCGACCATAACTAAAAAAAAATCCTACGACTGTTTGGTACCTTGAGATTACAGCACAAAAGCATGCAGGAGGGAGGAGACATCGGGGTCGTATGGTTGGACTTCCCAGATCCTGCATATGTTTAATTGGGTCCTCTCTACTCTTATTACGAAAGTGGAACTGAGATTTGCTTTGCTTTTACAGTGTGGCAATGCCTAGGAAAAGATAAAGTGAAGCAAAATATGTACAGAGCCCTCATGTCAATCAATCCATTTTGGGATTCTGATGCAAGTAACAGTGTTATATGTCTACGCACGGGTGAAGCTTGGTATTTGCTGGTGGATAGTGACATCCACACATGCAAAATATAATCTCTATATAAACCCTTCTCTTTAACAATTCTTTTCCACTCAAGTATTTTTGAAAGACAGATAAACAGAGAGAGAGAGAGAGAGTGTGTGAGAGAGATGGAGAGTAAAGAAGCGAAGCCTAAGGTCAAGAAAGGTTTGTGGAAACCAGAGGAGGACTTGATCCTGAAAACATATGTAGAGACTCATGGTGAGGGCAACTGGTCAACTGTGTCTAAGAAATCAGGTACTTAGCCCTATCTATTGGATAACTCCATTACAAACTCCTCTTTGCACAAAAGGTGTAATCTATATAAAGCTTAAATTCTTTGCACAAACTCGATTACAAACTATATAAAGCCTAAAGCCTAGACTGATTTTTTCTTTCTTTTAGCTTAAAGCTGCAGGTGGGATATTAATTATTATACTTGCATTGTTGCAGGTTTGATGAGAGGTGGCAAAAGCTGCAGATTAAGGTGGAAGAATTATTTAAGACCCAATATTAAACGAGGTGGGATGTCCCAAGAAGAAGAAGACATGATAATTAGGATGCATAAGCTTCTTGGTAACCGGTCAGTGGCTCGGCGCTTCTTCGCTTTGTCCTCGTTGAAAACCTGCCTACTCATCAATGCCGATTAGAAGATCCATGTTATATAACAACTTGTCTGGCTTTCATTTCATTTTTATTGTTACATGCAGGTGGTCACTTATTGCCGGTCGACTTCCAGGTAGGACAGACAATGAGGTGAAGAACTACTGGAATACCCATTTGAACAAGAGATTGCCTTCAGGCAAAAGAAAAGGTACCGACTCAAACCCTGATCAGGACGACAATAACACCAAGGAGAACAAAAGCAAAAGACTCCGAGCACTCGGCGATTCCCAGCCCACTGGCAACACGAGTCCAATAGGCAGCACTGAAGAATTGGAAGGGAAGGACCAAGAGAAAGAAGAGAGAAGTGCTGTAAGTGATCTATGGGCACAAGATGCACAGAGCATGATGAACTACTACATAGAATCTCCAATGGTGCCAGACAACAATGGTACTTTTGTCTTTGACGATGAGCCTTTCTTAGCCTACTGGGATTCTTTTGTTTTGTTTGAATCAGTAGGCTGTGGTGGTGACTGGTGAGACGTCATTTTACAGAGGGGCACTCAATCTGTCATGCCATGGTTTATGATATCAGACTCCATGCAAGACCCTGCATCTGATAAGACCACTTCTACTTGAAATAGTACAAGATTGACCTCTCCATGGAATAGGAAAATCTGTGCTATTTCCTGCGCTGTTGAGGATTGTTTTATGGATTCTACATTATATATTAGCGATAAATATGTTTCAAACAGATGTATAGCCACATGCAGGTGACGCTCTTACCTGCAATATATGCAAGTCGAATAAAAAATCCAAAGTCCCCATCTAAATGAAAATAAAAATTACAAAGCATGAAATGAAAATAAATAAATAAACATTGATCTAATGGTCAAGATCCAGTAGCATGACACTCGGAATCAGAAATCCGTCACCTAGCCTGCCGTGACACCCTTTAGTTACGGATGCAAGTCCCACAAAAGTGAAGACATCCTCGGAACAGAGCAATGGAGTTGCAGGCTACAAGGTAAGGGGTTGAAGTGAAGCATAACGTGACAAAATTATCAGCATCTTGACGCAAGCATTCATCCCATTATTTTTTCTTCCAAAGGAGGGCCCAAAAAAAATAAAACATCACAATCGGCTGATAGGTACCACCCATGTCCAGCCATCCATAGGGCTACGACCATGTCTCTTTACCAGCACGACCTGGAAACTTGTAGGCTTCGTTCAAAATAAATCAAAGATGATTTCACTTGACGGTAAGATCATGTTATTTGAAAGTCTAATATATTTTTTAAATTGTTTTTTATTTGAAAAAAAAATTATTTACAAACACTAAAAAAAATATTAATTTAAAACCAAAATAATTTTCAAATTTAAATAAAAAATAAATTAAAATTCAAAGCCAAATATAAAAAAAATAAAATAGAAAAGCTTATCCCTTTCTTTGGGAAATGTGAACAAGAAACAATAATAAATAATGAGGGTCCGACCACGTTGGTCCAGCCAAGTTTATACACGATTAAATTTAGGGAAGGTACAAGAAAAAGAAGTCGACGATTACTTGATTAATAACATTTTATTTTGAAAGATCCACATTTATACACAGCTATTCCATAAAGAATACAAAAAATAATGCTGATGATATAGTACCAATGGGAAGAATCTGATTACAGTACTTCATCCTCCTCTTGAGTATACAATAAAGCGTTCTCATTCTCGGTGGGCAGCGAAGGTGGTGTCCCTGGGGGGATGCAAGCAGCACCATTCTCACCAGCACATAGGCACAGAGCCTCTGCATCTCTAAGAATTGAATCAAGGTCGATATGGCCGCTCAGCTCATTGATGAATTTCAAGAGGGTGTCAAAGTCCATGTGCTCCCCCATAATCTTGTTGCGGTACCGCTTCAAGATCGCAACACATACATACAGATGCAGGTGCTCAGACAAATAATGGGTCCACAACACCTCCCACAATCGCATTGTTTTCTTGTATTCAAATTCCCTGAAGATTTGGCAAATCTTAGTGAGAAAAATAAAGAATTAATAACGCCTCCTTTCCCTTCTTCTCCAGCTGTAAGACAGCATAGCATAGCATTCACGTTTTGATACTAAGGGTACGAAAACATCACTGAATTTAGTAACAATTGGACCACAGTGATATTTGAGATGTTTTTCCCGGTGGGCATCTTGTCGCAAAACTGATTTCATATTAGTCACAAAAAAGAATGCACCTCTAGTATATTTTCCAGCATTCTTTTATATCATGCATCAATCTTCTCAAGTTGAAGATTGAAGTTGTATTGAAAACTAGTAAAGTATATACCATTCATCACCGACTCAAGCCCTCACCAGCAGCATTGGAGTTTTTTCAACTCAGAGATCTCAGAATGCATGCAAGTATCTTCTTCTCGGTGAAACAAAAATAGACTATCTACTATTATCATTTTAAATTGAAGCTAAATTGAACTAGTTGAAAATCCAAAACTGGTATCAGCATCAAATATATTTTTAACTTGTATATGAGCGAGATATTCTGTTTTGTATCCCCTATGCAACGTTTGTAATTGCAAGAAAAACAAGATACATTGAAAGGGTATGCCAGCAGCTTCATTAAAAAGACATCCATCAATCCTACGAGCGGGAAAAGAGGAACAAATAATCCATGATTCTGACCTTTTAAATTGTATTAGAACCCAGCGGAAACAAAAGAAGTAACTCAAGCAATCATTCTGCTTGAAATAGTTATGTAATGGGCTATCAAGCAACTCCACCCGCTGCCACAAAAATAGCAAAAGTTAGGTCAACCTGTAACTGTGGCCCATCAGAACAATTTACTGAAAATCCAGCTACCACCTAACCTTCATCCTCAGTTGTAACACCCCAACATAATGATCATTTAGCCTTCACAATTTGATATCCATTTTACAGTGATAACACAAGCAGAAGATCATCATAATTAATGAAGCCAAAAGGGCCTTGATTTTCATTAAGAAAGAAAACAGAATCTAAATTTACGATGGATATAATCCAAGAGATGCATAATAAAAAATAAAATAAAAAAACAAGTTTCAGGGAAAAAAAGAGAAAGAAAATAGACTTGTAGGGAGAGGGGAGACCTTAGATAATGCAAAAAGCTGAGAGTGCATGCCATTTTGGTCACGGTTAAAATTGGCACCAAGGCGTTCCATCAGTGCCACAAAACACCAAAATGATTCTGATTCGTCCTCCATCACAAACAAAATTGGGGATAGTAAATCGCTCATACCCTGAGAAAAAAAAAGGACAGACATGAATATTCAGCATCCCCAATAGACCAATTTCTCAAGCATGAGGGGAAAAAGGCCTTGAATGTAATCACTAAACATTTTTTGCCCAATAGGAAGAGGTAATCTTTTACCCACTCTAATGTTTTCTGAACCTGGATGCGAGCATAGGAAACTACACTAAGATAAATTGCAACTAAGGATTACTAGACTTATCCTTATTGAAAGCAATTTGTTTATTTACAGTATGCATATCAGGATGAGAATATAAAACGTGGAACACAATATAAAGTGCATGAAAAAGCACAGAAACAGAAGTAACATGAAAAAAGAAGCGTAGAAACACGAGTAGAGGTAGAAAGGAATAACAAGATCAAGCAAAACTGCTAAGCGCCACAAGTTGCACAAAGTACCAATCTCCTTGAATGCAATTAATGACATGTATTATGGTACTTCCAAATTTACTTCAATGCAATATAAAAACAACCACCAAATACAAAATAAAAATATCACAAAGGATAACAAACAGCATCTCCTTCAACAAATAATTGCACAAATTAAGTTATTACCTGGCAGTAACCAAGATCAAAGTTATAAAAGGAATATGTCAAAAGAATATCACGTAAGATATTCACATTTGCATTATCATCACCCTCATAGAAAGACAACGTTCTATCAGTCCTCACCTTGAACACATAACAGAACAACCATTAAAATTAACTTAAATTATCTTTTTATTTTAAGTAGTAAAATCAATACTTTAAATCTCGAAAAACAGCTATGGTAGTTTCATGCATACCACATCTTTGTCTATACAGCCCTTCCTTTCCCTAAATTTCGTAAATCTCTTTGCCTGTTCAGTAGAGATACTCTGCAAGGCCAAAAGAAAAGTTACATATTACAGCTCAAAGGAAACTTCTTAAAAATAGATTAGAAGAATTGCAATGACCCTAACTGTTAGAGATGCATGAAAGAACCAGCTGTTCTGACACATACCAGAGAGACCAAAACATAGTATCATAGTTAAGGTTAAACCTAACTTTAAAAATGAAATCTCATTTTTTCCTGAATAGAACAAATAAAAGCATGTATTTTTTGTGGAAAAAAAAAGTCATCAATCAGATTAGAAAGTAGTATTGCACTTGTCCTAACAAACAAAACTAATTTCCAATCATCCAATGACAACATAGGTAATTAGGATAAAAAAATGACAAACAACAAAATATCATCTATCTGAACTTAAAAAGTGAAAGCCTAGATATGGTACAACATAACTTCCACCAAGCCCAAGAAATTCTAGCCTAAAAAAAAATAAGGAAAATCCATGTAGCTAATTCCAACTAGTTTGGGACTGGGTCTTAAAGCCTCTCTGGCTCCATTGCACTTGAAAGCAAAGCACTCCTTTTAGCTGATTATGAGAGAAGGAAAGCTGAGCCAAAAGTCTAACAAACACATGGTTTATTTGAGTGTACTGTGCACCCAATCTGCAAAGGTTTTGCATAATCAACAAAAGAAACAAAATTGCTCTTCTTCTTGTACCTTCTATTTAGCTGAATATTATAAATAGGAATTTAGACAACATGAAAGCAAATCACTCTTTCCCTTTACACAACAATGCATTAACGATCATTAGACCTAATAGTATCCTACAAGCCCAAGCAAGTGAAATGCCGGCAACAAAATAGCATGTTTCATGAATCAGTTGAAGTAGAAATGAAAAGAAAAATAAGAGCATAGAAACAACAGGTGAAGACCTCATCTTTTAAAACCGCAGTTTCATCCTCAATAACATGCAATAACCGCCCTGGGGGTGGGGGTGGGGGGTGCGGCGCTATGAAACATACCAAGCAGCTACATGGAACACACAATAATATATGAAAAGGTGAGAATTGCAACAAACCTGCCATTGTTGTTTTACTGTCTCATACTCTGACTTTTTGGTTGACTTGAGATATTCCCTCTCAGCATATGCTGAATCATAAGCATGATATCCCAACAGAAGTGGCCAGACCTATATTCATTATTGTTAATCCTAAGAAGATTAACATATTAAGCCAAAAAGTCTCAACAAACAGTTGTTTGCTGAGAGCAAAGAACAAACCTCTTTACATGTTGAGTGCTCAACTCCCCCGTAGAATATTCTCTTTTTTAAGGCTTTTGAATCGATGACTCGCCCTTCAGAATCCAAGAAAATTTCCCACTGAAAATACAAAGAACTTTTGAGGAAAAAAAAAATAGTGGCATGTACATTCAGAGTCTTGAGTAAATAAAGTCGGGGTTGAGGGCCACAGGTACTATAAAATTCATCTTCAATGGGAAGCTACAGCATATGAAATGGACAAACCATGACAGTGGTTTCTCAGGGTGGGATCTGAAACCCTGGAACTCACTGAGTTTGGGACATGAGCTTCTAAAAAATAAGATTGAGAAATCGAAGTAAATATCAAATCAGAGTTGTACAAATCACAGGCATCCAAAGACTATCATGGTTTACAGATAAAAGAGCAGTTGGGTCAATGCAAGGATGTGACTGAGACCAAAATAAAAGTCTACGGCAAGAAAAACAAACATTTAAGGGTACTGAAAAAGAGACATTCATATTTACAGATCTATCATTAAAGGCAATAGAGAATTTATCTTCAGGCGAAAAAACTTTACCTCTTCAGACCCCAAGGGAGGCTGTCTCGGTTTTCCCCATACAAGTGTCATTTTATCGAACTGCCACAAAGAGGTGAGGAAAATAATAAATCCCACTTCTATAAAGAAGAATGATTGTATTTATTGATCAACACAAATAGGAAAAATGACATTCCATGAAACACGGTTTAGATCATCCCAAGTAAAGTCATTATTATCTTAAATTTTTTAATATTAATGAATCAAGCAGTCAGCAATTACAAGTGCTTTTCTTCTGTGGCATTTTGATATTCTAATGGAAGCAATGGGATTACATGAAGGAAAAGCTACATACCACTATGTGGAAATGTACAATCTAACTTTCTAAAAGCAAGTCAAGAACATGAAAAGTATATGTAATGCATAATGGCATCTGCGTTTTGGTCCTTGAATTGAATCACAATATGAAATACGAGTTGCTACTATGGCAAAACCCTTAAATGTAAGACTCATGCTTAGGGCTCCTACTTTAATAACCAACATATTTGAAGTGATTATGCCAACTTCTTTAGAAGAATTACATCAACAGAACTTTTCCTCAAATGTAAGAAGACCCATTCCTTACACCAACAGAACTTTCTTCTCAGGGACATTAAAAAAGTTAAACAAAATTTTGGCTATGGTGCTATTGAGAGGAAAAGTTGTGTTGGTTGTTGAAGTCTTCCTTCTCGCGACATAAACCTGTAAAAAAATGAATCAAAAGCGATGTCTGGGCTCCCAAGAAAATTTTGTTTTGACCACATTCAAAATAAATGCTTTGATACATTTTATTAAATACATAAAAAATACCACCCGTTTCCAACAAGCACCCATTGGTAAAACCCATTTCCAATAGCTTGATTCTTAGTAACAACATATTCATACCTTTGGTAAATGATGGATTTAAATTACTATCCATGCTATTGCTAAGGACTTAATGGTAAACTTGCAGGCCAAAACTAGTCTTTGTGAACTCCTGGTGCACTGGGTACTGTACCAGTCAGCCATGCCCTCTTTTAAAAAACAATACATTACCAACAGAAAGAACTGGTTGCCCCATTCTGTTCACCAGCTAACAAAATCAGTATTACCCTATAATGAATTTCCTGAGCTCAAGAAGAAAAACCAAAACAAGGAAAGAAATTTTATAAATCAAATTCAAAAGTTGCAAGTAAACTCTGTATGATATAATTCAAACAGAAGTAAGAAGAACAAAATGTTCAGCAACATCACTGTCAAAAACCTATATGCAAAAGCCCCATAATGGCGTTAATAAATGCAATTTGCAGATATAGTACCAAATACTATGCCAATACCAGTTTCCGATGCGTATGCAAACCTAATGATGATGTACACATTAAGGGTTATGTGTCATCTGAGAAGAGTGTGTGTGTTATAAAGAGTACACATCAAATGTAATAAAAAATATATCACCTTTTAGGAGCAGGACAAAAGAAGACAAATAATTTAATTCAACTCCAGAGGGTCCCAAAATATTAATAAATTCAAAATTGCTCAAGTAGAGAAAAGGGTACCTCCAGAGGATCTGAAGGAACAGGACCTTCCACAGGAGCTACCTTTGCATCCATTGATGCCTCATGGGGGATATTAGGGGGAGAGTGGCTAGAACTTTTCCTCTCAATAGCACCATAGCCATTGCTATTACTTTCACGAAACAGTTGTGAACTTGTATCCCGAGCAAATTTAGTCACAAGAGAAAATTTTTCCAGTACTTGGATTGTTAGATCTCGAGCAGGATCATGACTCTTGTGCTTCTGCCTCCCATGGTTTTGAGAAGGCCTGGGAGTGTCTTCATGAATGCTGCTATCAATCCTCCCTTGGAGTTCATAAGATGAATATTCACCACCATCTGAAACAGATGCAGATGGCCTACTTGCAATAGAAACAGGCAACTCTAAAGAGGACAAAGTTCTCTGCAAAACCCAGTTAAAAATCATCAAAAGAAAGAAAGAAAGAACAGAGGCAAAATGAAACGTAAAAACATGTCAACCAAACATATCAGGATTTTGAATATCTAGATTAATTCAGGGTATACAGCCTAAAACATAACAGAAATGACTGAGATGGCACACCTAGCAGAAACCAATGTCTACGCAAACCAACCTTTAAAAGCAATATTTGCAATTAACAACAGGCAGTTTCTGTTTACCAGTTATCTAAAAGAGAACAAAGGAATGTTCATCCGCACCTGAAAGGGATTTTGAAAATCATTCACCAGGAATACATTTGCATCTTCTAATGACCTGGAAATTTGATGGACAGCAACAAGATTACTAGAAATGGCATCTCTGATGATAAATAAGATCAGATAGATGTATGAGTAAACAAGTTTAAGGACCCCATAAACAAATCAATCTTACAATTGAAAAGATATCCTGACATGCACAAACAAAACAAGCAAATAAGATTAAAAAAAAAAAAAGACCAGGCCTTTATGGAAGAAGGAACTTCTGCTCTAATCATCTTTTTTTTTTTTCCACTTAATTCTTTTGAAGGATGTCTGGTCTCGAAGGTGTAAGTAGGTTCCCGTCCACCATAAAAAATGTGTGCACTTAATCTAAAAGAATGTGCAAGCATAACTAAACATCACAGCTCATATGAGGTTTCATGCTTGACATGAACACAAAATGATGCCATGCTCATGTTAAACAACATTCCTCTATTATTTAAGTTGATAGGAGAAAAAAGTTTAGCATAGGGGCAATACAGAAGCATATGGGAAATATGCAGAGAGCTAAACAAGACAAAAGCAAAGGAGCCACAATGAGAAGAACAATTGCAAAAAACCAAGCTCCTAAATATAAGAGTACTCATAAAGCCCTAGAAGAAAGACAGAAAAATGGCAAAATAAAGAAATCATCCATTAGATAGGTGAGGAAGACAGCTCCTTCACTTCAACCTTTATACTAGAACTTTTAAACCACAAAAGTATTATCATTTCTTTCATATCAGAAACTCTGCACAAGACATGACGGAACAAACTTCATGCTGCTACCCTTTTCCTATGCTTTTTAAACTTCCTTTCCAGACAACAATGTTTGCAGAAGGAACCTACAAGTTATTGAAAAACTGGTAGTTTCATTTATTTATTTCTTTTTTGTTCTGTCAGAAACAGCCTTGAGAGACAGAGAACCAACAACCCCCCATCCAACCCATTTCTACAAGGAGAGAAGATTCCATAAGGCCAAAATGTGCTTTGGCCATAGCCCAAGCAAGGCCAGCCAGGCTTTGGTCCTTATACCTTACAAAACAAGGAACTCATTTAATCCCGGTAAAGTTTCAAAGATAACCTTGAAGCAGTTTCTCACCACATAGCACCAATAGATTAGAAACAAGGCATCCAAGAATAAACAACGAAAAATATCAGTCAATTCTATTTATAAAATGCACTCCATGCATAGCACAATACTAGCCAATGTACATGTGATATGTTGCGGGTAGGATTAGAAGTTAATTTTGAAAAAAAAAAATCGATGCCATCATTATAGATGAGATTTTTTCATATCATTAAAGTTGTTAAAAGAGGAATGGAAAGATCATTTGTGTGTAATACAACGAATGAAAAAACATATTAACTGATAAATAAGAAGAAAAAAATTGTTAGCACAGATTAAAGACTAAAGTGGGAAGAGAATTTTTCCATAATGCAAATATTTTACCTCAACTGCCCATTTTATATTATAGATTTGTTTATATATCTTAGAGATTCACTATGATTGTTAAGAACATATAATTTTTATTTTTATAAATGCATAATACATGTACAACTGATTGATTTTAAATCTAAGAAAAAAATTAAAAATAAATGACAATAATCTATTAGAGGTATTGGAGGTTTTATGAAATCACAGAAACCAGCCAAAATATTTACTGTTTTTAAAATAGTTAATTTGGTCAATTTAAGAAAAAAATGACATAGCATATTAATTAAAACAATTGAAAACAAAAGTCAGGGCTACTGGGCAAGGAAGACGAGCCTGCATGCTAGCCTAAAAGGCAAAAGCCCAGGCTCGCACCCTTGGTTTCCCTTTTTTTTAAAAAAAAAAGTGGATGACGATTGTATTTTTTTTCTAAATTGAGCAGACAACACATCATTGTCTAGGCAAATGACATGTTGTTCACCTTCTCCGATCATTGAAAATCAAGAATTAGGTTTTGTTTTGTTTTTTTTTTTAAAAAAGGTAATTGTTCTTTTTTTTTTAAATTGTGCACACCACAAGTCTTCTGCCTAGGCAAACTACATGTCATCCACTGTTACCTTCTCCGATCACCGAAAATCAGGAATTGGGTTTTTGGACCCCAAAAACTCAATTTTCAATTTGTTTTAACCTGAAAACACCTAATTAACATCAAAGAAAACTCAATAAACCCATTTTCAACCCCAATCACTCTAAAAACTGAGTTTAAAAAACTTTGCAGGCTCCAATCTACTTTTTTCAGCATGTTCAAAAGGAAACACCACCACCATTGAACTCCCTTTCCAAGATGAACCCATTAACATGAACATCGGCCTTTTTTGTTATCGGAATGTGGCCAACTAAACCCTTTCTCTCTCCTCTCTCTTAACAACGACTTTCTCTCACCTCTCTCAAGATCCAAGGAATGAAAAATTAAAAAAATAAATTTTAGCAAAGACCAACTATAAAAAATAAAAAATTGAAGGATGAAAGTGTAGTTTTATGCACCTTTGAAAAACAAAGATGGGAAAAAAGTTGTTATTTTTTTTAGTTAATGTTAATTTTGATCTTTGTTTCTTTAATTGTTTTATTTACAATAACTAAAATTCCCATCCTATAAATTTGACCTCTCATTTAATGCTAGAACATTATTTGACACCTTGGACATGTGATAGCATGCAATCTGAAGGAAATAAAAAAACATGTGGCAGGACAACATAACTTTTAAGGACAATTTGAAACAAAATAAAGTTGAACGATCAAGTCGAAAAGGATATAAAACTCGAGGGACCTAGAAGTGAAATTTGCCCAATGAACAGTGCTACGAATATTGAAAGGATGAACAAGATTAGCACAATGAAATGAAACGTTGATCTATTTTAATTTCTTTGTCAACAAATGTAAATTTAGTATACTAAAGATGCTCTTATAATATCTAGATATGCACCTTTACCATGCATAGAGAGTCTCAAAATGAAAGGTAAATCAATAACCAACCTCGCAATAAAAACATGTTGCTTTATTGTAGCAAGAAATTCTTTGACTCCTCCATTGTAGAAGTAAAGTGAAGGAAATGCAAGTCCTGCAACCCACCTCCATTTTAAAAATCAAGAGAAATAGATCCAAGGATTGATAGATTCAATTTTAAGAGAAATAGTCCTGCAACACACCTCCAAAACTCATAACCTTTAACATAGGGCATAGAAACACCAAACGAAAAAATGTGCATAAAAGCAGAAACAATCACCTTGCAATAAAATTAACCAAAGATAAATAAAAGTAGATGCTCATAAATAGATATAGAACTAATCATACCTTGATGAGGTAAAAGGTATATAAAATAAAGTCCATCTCCTCAAAACAAATATCCATGAGGAAAAAATAGATAACACACACTACTCAAATTCCCACTACAAAGTACCGATTTCTTCAGAAACTCACTGCAATCATCACACTGTGCAATTTTGATAGTTCCATGTAAGTGCAGACCGTAAAAAGTGAAAAATCCACGAAAAATATGATGTTTGTGCTCTAACAAATATCAGACATTGTAACACTTACTACAAGCATCTTAAATTCCATCACCTGAACCATTGACCATTTATCAGACTAAAAGTATTCAAAACCTTTATTCATATTAGTTATTCTACACCATTCCTGGTTTTCCAACACAGCATGGTTGAGTTGAAAAGCTCACCAATCACGTGATAACACTGAACTCATTTGTAGGAAAACATGGTTTCATTTGTGAAAATAAAATGAAAGAAAGTAGTAGTTGGTTGAAAACTTTTTATAACCACCTTGATAACATAATTTTTTATCCTTGCATGTAAACATTCGATTTGTCGGCCTTTACAACTCAACAACACCGAGTTGTAAGTTCAAGACTAGTGTAGAATTATCCATTGATTTTTATCAATTTGTTAAAAAGCACCTTCGGACAGTTAAAAATTCGACATCCTCTATCACTGAAAATTACAGCCTTCATTAAAAGGAAGGAAAAAAAAACATATATACCTGATGACAAAACAACAATTATGTACTGCCACCCAAGCGTCCGAGTATATCGACGAATGGACCTCACATCAGTAAAAGGCACAGCCCTTATGGTATAAAGACTCCTGTCTACAGAACAAAACCATGTAACATTTACTCCTCTACATCACCACTCATAATTCACCAAATTAAAAGTTCAGAACCACAACCTCTCTCTGACAACCTCGCATTCGTAATCTGCCCTTTGTACGGAATCCACGTCTGCCATCACATAAACAACAACCCCATTTTAGAAAAAATGCTAAACAGATAATCAATAAACTGATTAATAAAAACCTAATTAAATTACCATAAAGAGATAAGAGCCTTGCTTGATAAGCTTCAGCCGACCACTGATTCTCTCGGACGCATACTGAGTAGGATGAATTGTGACGTTATCTTTGAGATATACAACTTCTGCGCCTTCCGGCACGCTCGACGAGGTACTCTTTCCGACGTCGCTTCGCGTCATCATCATGCTCGCCGGTCCCTGGATCAAAACAAGAAGGCAAGGAGATTATTAAAGAAAACGTGCTTTGTGAATTGAATTGAATTTAGTGAAAATGTGAGTGAGTGAGTGATTGAGTGCTGTACTTGCTGAAGAGAGGCGGCGTAATCGCCGTCGTCGGATAAATCGTGAAGGTCCGGTTCTTGCATGGTTGCTGGTGGTCAGGGGTTTGAAGGAGGAGGGGGAGTTTTTTTGCTTACGGAGGAAGGAATGGTGGATTTGGAGAGGGGGGGGTGTTCCACAGAGAGAAGGAAATGTGGGGCCCCAAAACAGGCTACGGTGACGATGAAAATGATAAAATACTGTCAAGAAATAAATAAATAAAAATTCGGTTCACACTTTCATTAATTTTTGAAAATTATTTTGAAATTAGTATATTTAAAAAATAAAAAATAATAATTTTTAATAAAAAATTAATTTTTTTAAAAATACGGATTTGACTCGTATTTTAATTCATTACATGGTGCCGGTCAAATCTATTTGTTATTAGCATAAAAATATCCTTGAAACTTGATAGTACTTTTTATATTAAAAATATTAAATTGGAAGGTTAGTTGACTTAATAATTTTAAGGTATTCTAAAAAAAATTAATTAAAAACTTTAATTTAATATATTGAATTAATTAAAATTAATTTGAGTTGATTTATTAAATTTGTAATTTAAATTATAAGAACATAATAATTTTATATAAAATATATCGATATAATTATAAAAATTAAATTTTAATTAATTTAATATTAAATAATTAAAAAAATAACTTAAATCTACCTTTAAAATAAATAAATTAAAACAATAAATAGAGAAAAGATTACAGATTACAGATAGTAATCTTGATTATTCTGATTTTTTATATATAGTAACTTAAAAAAAAACTTAATAAGTTTTTTTAACTATATTAAATCAATATAAAAGGTTTGTTTTAAATTTATTTTAAAAGATAATTTAATTTTAGTTGATATATAAATTATTTTTTAAATATTTTTTAATTATAAAAAAGAATAAAATAAATTACATATTGAGAAAAAAATTCATATACAAAATGAAAAGGAGAAGGAAAACAAGCAAATGAAGTTAAATGAAGTAAAAAAAAAAAAAGGTAACAAAGGTTCATGAGTAAATTAAAAAGGCCGGATTTGACTCGTATTTTAATTCATTACATGGTGCCGGTCAAATCTATTTGTTATTAGCATAAAAATATCCTTGAAACTTGATAGTACTTTTTATATTAAAAATATTAAATTGGAAGGTTAGTTGACTTAATAATTTTAAGGTATTCTAAAAAAAATTAATTAAAAACTTTAATTTAATATATTGAATTAATTAAAATTAATTTGAGTTGATTTATTAAATTTGTAATTTAAATTATAAGAACATAATAATTTTATATAAAATATATCGATATAATTATAAAAATTAAATTTTAATTAATTTAATATTAAATAATTAAAAAAATAACTTAAATCTACCTTTAAAATAAATAAATTAAAACAATAAATAGAGAAAAGATTACAGATTACAGATAGTAATCTTGATTATTCTGATTTTTTATATATAGTAACTTAAAAAAAAACTTAATAAGTTTTTTTAACTATATTAAATCAATATAAAAGGTTTGTTTTAAATTTATTTTAAAAGATAATTTAATTTTAGTTGATATATAAATTATTTTTTAAATATTTTTTAATTATAAAAAAGAATAAAATAAATTACATATTGAGAAAAAAATTCATATACAAAATAAATTACAAAGGTTCATGAGTAAATTAAAAAGGCCCGGAAAAAACATTGTTAATAGTCTATAATGTTTTTTCTATTTTACCCCTTTTCAAACCACCCTGTGAAATAGCATTTAAGGGTAGTTTTATCATTTCACAAGGGGATTTTGTCTTTGCAATATTTATAAGGGATGGATAAGTTTTTTTACATATGTTATGCTAAAATGACTTCATTGCTTTTGGAATAAAAAAAAATTGAAAGTTGATGCTAATGACTGTTTTTGTCTTTTTGATTTTTTATATACATTAAATATCTAAATTACCCTTAAAAGGTTAGGTCTTATTCAATAATGGTCAGGGGTATTCTGGTATTTTTATAATAGGTTTTTTTTTTTTGTGATAATGGTTGGTGTTGTTGAATTTTTAAAGCTCTTGCATTGGTTTTTTTATTTTGGTTTTTTTGTTATTCTCATGGGAACTAGTAGCATCAACGTAGCACGCGCTAATTAGCAGACATCGGTTGTGACTTTGGTTGGCAAGTATAGCGAAATCTTGCGATCGAATATTATCTTTAAAGGTGGTATTAGAAGCATACTAACAACCTCTATATAGGGATGCAGTGCGCGTGTGTGGAGGGGTTTTAATGTGTGCCCTATCATTTTTCTTATATTTAATTTTATTTTCATTATTTTAATTATTATATTTTTTAATTTTATTTTAATTAATTTTTTTAATTTCATCATTGCCATTTAATTTAATTTAATTTGATTTTTATTATTTTCATTTAATTTAATTTATTTTCATATTAAATTTGATCCTTATTTTTTAATTTTATTAATTAAATTTTATTTTCAATTTCATCATAAATATTTATTTTTAATTTATTTTTCTTTTGAGTTAGTTCCCTATCTTTTTATTATTATTTATTTTATTTTCAATGCTTTTGGTTATTGCATTTTGTTTTCCTACATAATCCCTTGGTATATTTTTTTTATGAGAATTTTTTTTCGATGTCCCCCCCTTTCTATGGGTTTAGTACAGATCTCATAGTTAGTTAGGGTTAAAGTTTTTGATGATTAATATAGATTGATTTTATTTTATGGGTTTTTATATAAATTGATTTATTTTTAATTTTTTTAATATTTTTTTAGTTGGTCTTTGTGTCTTTTTTTTTCTCTTTTTTTTTTATATGAGGTTATTTCAATCGTAAATTTACTCATATATTTTTATTGTTTTTTATTTTTTCTAATTTCATCACTAAATATTTTTTTATTAAAAATTTTGCTTTGTTGTTTTTTGAGTTTGACTTCATGTGGTCAATTCCGGTCTCATGACCATATTTATAAGTTTCAAAGGTTGACACAAGTTGATTTTTTATCTTTTTTATTTATTTTTTAAAGTTAATTTTTTTTAATTTCATCACTCAACATATTTTTTTTTGAATTGATCTTCATAATTTTTTTTTCAATTTTCTCATTATGGGTCTATCCTAATCATGTGCATGTAGTCGTAAGGTTATCAAGATAACCCAAATTGATCTATATCTTTTTTAAAAAAATTATCATTCAATAATTGGTTATTGATAGTTGAACTCCATAGTTTTATTTAATTTTCTTTTATTGATGATTTTTTTTTACCTTTTATTACCAATGATAATCATTTGATCGAATAAAAATTTATCATAAGAAACAAAGTTAATAAATATAACTAAATACACAACTTGTGTTGTGATATTAAATATGTTAATCTTATTACCCGCTCCGCCTGTTCTTTCTGAAAGTTCCCTCTAGGGGTCTGACCCTCCGCTACCTAATATTCCCAGCTAACCGAATTCATGTTTTAGTTTGGTATGCCCCTCCGATTCAACTCGGCCCCTATCCCCACTATGATCCTTTTCTTCTCCTCGGTTCTCAAAACCTTTTTTTTTAACTAATTTTTTGTTTTGCTTTGAAATTGCTTTTTTTTGTTGTTGTTGGGTTTGTGCTATATAAATTTGAACGTTCTCCTCGGTTCTCAAAACCTTTTTTTTTCAACTAACGTTTTGTTCTGCTTTGAAATTGCTTTTTTTTTTTGTTGTTGGGTTTGTACTATATAAATTTGAACGTTCCCGATATTTTTTTATAGAAATTAGCAGAAAAGAAAAGGGCATGTAATATTAAATATGTTAATCTTATTTATCTCTTGATTAAATATTAATTAATTTAATTATATGCATATATAAATATTTTGGTTTACAATTGAGAATTTTTTTATATGAAAAAACTAGTTAGAAAAATCTATATATTTATTTTCCTGTAAAAAAATCACATGATCATAGATAGTCTTATTGTAATCATGTTATATGTATATATATGGTAATACACATATCACCATGTATATACACATAACATGACTGTGATAAGACTATCTAACAATTTGCTTCTAATCATCTAATATTGTTATAACTGTATTTGTAAATTTAGCCCGACTTTGTTTATTGACTTAATCATAGTTGAAGCTAACTTATTGACTTAATCATAGCTGAAGCTAACTTTTAAAATAAAACTGGGTGTGGGTTGATTCAATATAATTTGATAAACTTAATAGGTTTGTGCATGACTTAATTAATTTGATTAAAACTTGATTTAGTTCAAATGTTTTTAACGATGATATTGTTTTAATATTTTTAAATTGATTTGAGTTAATATGATTTAATGATATTGTCTTAATATTTTTAAATTGATTTGAGTTAATATGATTTAACTCGACTTGTGATTTATATAATAAAAATAATTGAATTTAAAAAAATTTCCCCTTTAAAATTTATTTTTTGTTAGTTATGTGATTATAGACATTCATAAAGAAGGCGATGAATGAAACTATGAAAGAGAAATATAATTTTTTACATCAAAATTGTATTTTTGATTCATATATTTTTTATTTTAACTATAAAGTGAGTTTTTTTTTATTAGCAGTGTAATCCATTTAATAAAAAGTAATAACAATAATGTTTTTTGGAGATACTATATATGAGCTAAAAAAAAAAACCATATAATTTTAATCAAATTCTATTTTTTTATTGACACATTTCTTTTTTATTTTAACAATAAAAATTTATGAGATTATAAAATTTTAAAACAACATGGACAAATTGGTACGTGAAACAAAGATTTTTGGAATCACACTGATTTTTTTTTTACTTCAAAATAGAAAAGACCTTTTTTATCTTTATTTTTTCAATTATATCCTTTAAATATATTTTAAATACTTGTTCTTTAACTCAGTTTTAGAATACTCTAGAACTCTTGAATAAATAAATGCATTGAAAAATCAATCCCAGCATTTAAAATATATTTGAATAATGTCGTTCATAGTGAATCAACTCCAGCATTGCATTGCGTTTCAGAGAATTCCAATGATATTTTAGTAATTTACAAGTAATTTAGAAAATAAAATATTTGATTGTTGACCCAAACCCCACATCAGAATTCATTTTTTTTTTCAAGAATAATTTTCCTTTAATGCTAAAAATGATTGGCACTTTTGATTCCCAAAACATATTCC